GAAGCTCTCTGGGGTGAGCTCATTATCATACAAACCAATCAGAGCCGTTCAATGGCTCTGGAACCAATCAGGTTTAGTCAGTCTGTTGTTTGAATTTAAACAAGTAAACACACTTTTTTGTTTTTTTCATATATGATGTTGAAATCCTTGTGGGAATTTCAGAAATATATCTTAGAAAGTAAAGGCGTCAAGCTTGAAAACATTTATAAACACCTAGCTTATTACAATTAATGTATCATGTAATGAACAACAGCCTAATCAACCAAAGTAGCATAACCTTTTAAGTAAAACTGAACAACATATTAAACAACATATTTTAAATATTGCAATGCTTAATAATAGTTGACAAACGTTTGTACATTGTAAAGGTTAAAAATGTTTTTCAAAATATTGTACTTTTCCGATACTTTTTATAAATACATTAAAAGTATGCTTCTGTTTAGCATATTTCTTAGAAGTATAACTAAGCATATATTTAATACAAAAGTATTTCTAGTATACTTTTTAGAAATATATTAAAATGCAATTCAATATATTTTTATTGCACTTCAAATAAGCATGTTGGGAATACAAATGTATTATAAACATACTACTTGAATTTCATGTGTATTTTTAATACATTTAATACTACGTCTTTTTCACCTGGGCAGTCTGGTCAAAATCAGCATACACAATGGCAAGAAAACAGAAGGTCTAGCAGAATGGAAATAAAGTAATAAACTTAATTTTAATATTTTGATTTTTTTCTTGAAACCATTCTGATTTCTGTAATTTTATAAAAACTGGATGTAATGTAATGTCTTTGAGGATAATGCCATTACCGGACTGTTTTGAAAGGATTTAGAGACTTATATGAATAGAAAACGATAGACATTTGTGCATTATATGTGCTTTTATATTTTCAGAATGACATTTAAGCTCTTTGCAATCCAAGTTTCTTACATTTTATAAATTACTTTATACATTAAACCTTTTAGAACAAATTATAAACAAAAAGCACTGAACGTGATATTTACCCTTACTTCACTTAATTGTGACATTTTGATATAAAATATTTTATAATTATTAGTTCAGCATAAAATGAAACTTCTGTCGTTATTTTCTTATACGAAAAGCTATTATAAGGCTTTAAGTGACTTGGAATATAAGTCATACAGACCTTTTTTATTATATTATGTTTTTTTCCTTAAAGAAATTAATACTTTTATTCAGCAAATATGCATTAAATTGATGGAAAGTAACAGTAAAGGCTTATATAGTTACAAAAGATTTCTATTTTAAATAAATTATGTTCTTTTGAACTTATTATTCATCAAAGAATCCTGGAAAAAATGTTACAGTTCCAACAAAAATATTAAGCTGCACTACTGTTATCAACATAATGGATAATATTAAGAAATGTTTCCTGAGTGCCAAATCAGCGTATTAGAATGCTTTCTGAAGGATCATGTGACACTGAAGACTGGAGTAAATTCAGCTAATTGTACCGTTCCTTTATATATGATGGAGACACGAAAATGTACTGCATGGTAGGAATGACCTACATCAGATCACAGACCAAACATGCAGCCCTGTCACAGTCTCTCTTTGCCCACCGTCTCTCTGAGTGAGTGAGAGAGGCTGAGAGGACATTTGAGTATAATGTGTCCGCTAATGGATGGGAAACAGGGCAGAGCAGAAGGGAATGAGAACATGAGTATGTTAGACTGAAAGACATATTAGAGAGAGATGAAGTGGCGTGGGTCTGCGGACAGCCGTACTGTGAGTAACTGATCCGAATGAAGGGAGGGGGATGTTCACAGGTCAAACACGCGCACACACATACAGAAACTCTCATTGAAACACAGCTGAAACAGGTGTTACAGTCACAGAGAAACCAGGTCAACATCAATCACATGCTGAGTTATAAATACACACACACACATGCTGAGAATTTAGCAATGAAAGAGTGACAGAGTGTGAGAGAGAAATCGATGTTACAGATAAGAGTTGTTAAGAGATTGATTCTTTAAATAAACACTCATGTAGGCTGATCAACAGTTTACCAATGTTGGGCTTCCGCGGTGTTGCTAGCTAGGATAGCAACTACTCTATAGAGAAATTAGCTAAACTAAGTTGAAAGCTAGCCTTTAGAGAAGTAGCTTGCTACATTTAGGATACTTTATAATTCTTCATATAATTTGATCTAATACATGTTTATTGAAGAACCAAAAACATCTTCAAAAGACAGCAGAAAAAAATGTATTGGCTGTTTTTATCTATGTACATGTACTACCATTCAAAGTTTGGAGTCAGCAAAATTTGAAATGGTTTTGAAAGATGTCTCCTTAACAAGGCTGCATTTATTTGATCATTTATTTGAAATACAGTAAAACAAGAATGTTGTGAATTATAATAAGTGTTTTCCATTTTTATATATTTTTAAATGATATTTATTCCTGTGATGCAAAGCTGAATTTTCAGCAGCTATTACTCCAGTCTTCAGTCCCACATTATCCTTCAGAAATCATTCTAATATGCTGATTTGGTGCTCAAGAAACATTTCTTATTATCATCAATGCTGAAAACAGTTGTGCTGCTTAATAATTTTGTGGAAACCGTGCTATATATATATTTTTTTTTTCAGAATTCTTCAATGAGGAAGAAGTTGTTTGGAAGCTTTTTTCACATACAGTTGTTGAACCTAAAGACCTTCATTATAGATGTAAAATGATGTAGTGCCTGCTGCTGAAATATTATCAGGGAAAATTAAATGTTTGTCAAACATACATAGCCCTATAAAACTACTTAATATAACAACTTTTCAACCGTAAAACTACATGATTTCAAATAGCAGTGTTGCAACCTCACTATTGAGAAATATAATTAAAATACTTATTTATTTTTAATACTAATATTATTATTAATTATTATTAATGTATTATTTGTAACAATGCTACAGACATGTTTTGATTTACCTGAAACCCATATACCACTGTTTTATCTTGCAGCTAACATGATTGATGGTGCAAGACAGCAAGGGATATGAATCACAGAAAGTGTGTTTGCATGAACTGTTTGACCTCTGACCTCAGGACAGCCCACTGACCCCTCACTTGATCAGTGACCCCTGATGTTGTGTTTCTCTCTCTTCCTCTCTCAGTAAAAGCATACAGGTTAAAATCATCGATGATGAGGAGTATGAAAAAAACAAAAGCTTCTATCTGGAGCTAGCAGAACCTCGCATGGTGGACATGTCCCTTCAGAAAGGTAAAACACACACACACACACACACACAGTATACTCACAGTAAGATCACATCCTGTGACCATCATCCACTTTTGCTGTTCATTTAATCTATTTACTCATTTCTAAGTTTATTTCCATTCATCCAGTGGCTCTTTATCAGTTCATGTTTTATGTCTTCACGTTGTTTTTTATTGGGAGTAGCAAGAGTCTTGTTATTTGAGATTCACTGCATAGTACATTCACATACAGTATCTTTCAAAGGTTTGGGTCAAGACTTTTTTAAAGACATTAATAATTGTATTCAGCAAGGACACATTGAAGTGATCAGTGAGAGTGATAATAAATGCTGTTTTTTTATAGTCATCAAAGAATCCTGAAAAACAAAATGACAGTTTCCACAAAAAATATTAAGCAGCACAGCTGTTTTCAACATTGATAATAATAAGAAATGTTTCTTAAGCACCAAATCAGCATATTAGAATGATTTCTGATGGATCATGTGACACTGAAAACTGGAATAAAGACATCACATGAATAAATTAAATTCTAAAATATATCAAACAGAAAACAGTTATTTTAAATTGAAGTAATATTTCACAATATTACTGTTTTACTGGATGTTTGATCAAATAAATGCAGCCTTGTGGACCATAAGAGACTTATTTCAAAGACATTAAGAAAACATACTTATTACAAACTTTTGAATGATGGCTTATTTCTGCTTTCAATGTATTTTGAATAATTATGCAAATTTTCTGACTCTATGAATGGATGCTACCAGTAGAGGGCACCCCGGATGCATGTTCAAATAGAGCCAGTATTAAGAAATGGACTACTCATCGAAAAATAAATAAGAAAAAATATGCGTTTTGCCTACTTTGAGCTGAAGAAGCAACATTTTTAAACAGGTTTTGTCAGATTTTATTTCTTATATACATTATTGAAACATAAGGTCAGCCAACAGTTTCTGAGATTTCCCAATTCAAGTAGATAGGATGCCTATTGCCTATAGATAAATAATAGCTACCAAGCGGCATGGCCAAGATGGCCGCCGAGTGGGCCGACTTGCCTTAAAGAGACTTTGACTCAAAGCACATGAATTCAATGAAGACCCACAGAGTGCAGCTCTCAAACTAACTCATCATCACCGACTCACACAAGAAATGCTGCGATGATGTTTTGTATCGCTTTAAAAATGGCAACGTTCCTGTTTTTGTCTTCCAGTTTTTATATAGTTTTCTTAAATGTCTTGAGATTATTGTTTAGGAAACTATGTGAAGGATTAGCTAGCAGTGTTGATTTTTCACTGACTTCTTTGGAGTTTCAGTATACATTGACCTTAAACGCTGGTGCGGGATCTCAAAGAGTGTGAGAAATGAATCACACTTTTTCCTTCCACTCAACTTTCTGTTAACATGCTTGGATACAGCACTCTGTGAACAGCCAGCTTCTTTGGCAATGAATGTTTGTGGCTTACCCTCCTTGTGAAGGGTGTCAATGATTGTCTTCTGGACAACTGTCAGATCAGCAGTCTTCCCCATGATTGTGTAGCCTAGTGAATCAAACTGAGAGACCATTTTGAAGGCTCAGGAAACCTTTGCAGGTGTTATGAGTTGATTAGCTGATTGGCATGTCACCATATTCTAATTTGTTGAGATAGTGAATTGGTGGGTTTTTGTTAAATGTGAGCCAAAATCATCACAATTAAAAGAACCAAAGACTTAAACTACTTCAGTCTGTTTGCATTGAATTTATTTAATACACGAGTTTCACAATTTGAGTTGAATTACTGAAATAAATGAACTTTTCCACGACATTCAAATTTATTGAGATGCACCTGTAGTGCTGTTTGTGAACTAATGATTGTGGTTCAGATTCTGATTCCTCCTAATAATTCTGGATCTTTGATGATTTGATGAACAATTCAAATAATTCAGTGAATGAGACAGATCGAGGAAATTGTTCTCACTGGTATGATTCACGCTGTAGATTCAGGAACGCAAGCTGTTTTTTTTCTTTGAAGACAGACAGATAAAACTTTGTATCAAATGGGTTGTAGGTGTTTTTGAAACTGAACCTGTAATAGAAGACACATCACTTGTCCTACATCCAAACATGACTTTAGAACTGCTGATCCTGTGCTGTCGCTGCAAAATATGTGAGAGCCGTTCAAGGATCTAAAGAAACACTTCCAGCTTTATGCATCTAAATACAGAATGCTTTCTTTGGCATTGAACCCTCTTATACACCAACTGGATAAATATAAAAAAGTGGCGGTAGAGATGGTTGTGAAGAAGTGGTAAGACAGGCAGGAAAGCTGTGAGACAGGAGAAGATTAGAGAGAGACAGGTGAGCAATGAAAAAAAGACAGGAAATGGTGAGCAGAGAAAAACAGGAAAGAGAGGGGGTCAACATTGTTCATTTTACACTGTTTTTTAATACTTTGTTCTTTTGACAAAACATATTATGAAAAAAGACAGGAAATGTTTTATTTTTTTAATGTATTTAAAATATTAAAAAAAATTAAAAACATTATTCTTTTGACAAAAAATCATTAAAAGTAGTCATATTTATTGATTTTAGTCCATTTGACTTAATTTAGTGGTTGAAAAAATTAAGTGCAAAATTAGTGATAAAAGCATGCAAAAATATTAATATTTCATATTTAAGCGTGTATTGGCATTTTAACAAAAACATGTAAAAAAAACTATAGATTCCTTTTCATTTTCACATTGTTGTCTGTGATTAGCTAATTTGACAGTCATATTCTTCATATTTCTTTCCATATTTTCTTTAAAAACATTGTTAGTATATTAACATCTTGCAGTATTTTTTTTCCGCATCATGTTTTCCTCAAAAGTGTGTTTTAATTAAAATTGTTTAATTCTCGTCATGATCCTCCTTTTTCATCTCATCTTTGTTATTGAAAAAACATTTGAAAAACTTTTGTTTCCTAACATTTTTGTCAGACATTCATACGGCATTAACACTGAGGCTTTGTTTGGCAGGTGGTAAAGAAAGACAGTGAGAGACAGACAGGAGATGGTGAGAAAGATGACGAGAAAAGGACAAGCAGAAGAGGTGTGAGACAAATAAGCAGAGAGGGGTGAGACAGGTGAAGAAAGACATACAGGAAAGGGGTGAGACAGGTGAGGAGAGAATGACAGAAAGAACAGAGTGAGAGACACATGAGAAAAGTAGGAGAGGGGTGATACAACTGAGGACAGAGAGACAGGCAGGAGAGCTCCAGCAGACTATCCGTTGCACTGCATCTGTGTGCGATTAATTTCCCGTGAAGCCCAAACCTGCAACACCCCTTCCACATGTCCCAGATGAGTGTGTTTAATGAGAAGATCATCAGAAGTGAATCATTTTATCACAGAATTGCTAACAGCTCACCAAAATATCACCTCACTCTGTGTAAGTGTGTGTGTGTTTGTTAGAGGGAGAGATCTCTGCATTCACATGTGTGTGATGATGGAATAGCTGTGAATGAGCCAACGACAGGGGAGTTTTCATCTAAATATCGACACCTACATCCCACGATCCCATAGCCTCACAGAACGCAGGGAGGAGAGAGCCGTCTGGGATCTGTTGCCAGGGTACCATCAGCTGTTGCTAGCGCTGATGTGCAATAGATTTACACTGAACTGTTGAGTCGAAGCTTCCAGGAAAGAACAGTGAGAGAGAAAATGTGGCGAACAGATTAAATGAATTCCTTTGTGCGTTCGCCATGTCTATGTGTGTTATCATGAAGCAGATGTGTTGAAAAGCCTAGAGCTGACGACGCTACACAAATTGCAGGTTAATAATGTGCGTCAAGACACATCCCCCCTCCACCCCTAACCCTACTCGCAGACACATTCGAGCATAAATTATGGGCTTATTTACACATCCAGCTTCTCATTATAGGTCGATATTTTCATCTCAGCACACACACACATACACTTAATCAAAGCTTGTTTGTTCACCATCTCATTCATCCTCAGCAACAGAAAATTACAGCACTGATTACAGAACTATTAAAGTCACTACACAGAGAGAGAAAGAGAGAAAAAAGTAATGGAGAGACAAAGAAATTGATTCCTTTAGTTGGTGCTCATTTTTCTGTAAATGTGTGTGGGTCTGGGTACTAGATTAATAAATGTAAAAAAAATATATATTTTTTGTTAATTCAGGAAACCTGATGTACTAAACCAATTGAACCTTATTGTTATAAGGACAATTTACCCAAAAATACAAATTCTCATTATTTAGTCCATTGGTTCTCAATAAACATCCAGGGGACCTTAAGATTCCCTAAAATAAGACAAAACTAGCATTAAAATATGCTTATATTATGGGCTTATTTACACATCCAGCTTCTCATTATAGGTCGATATTTTCATCTCAGCACACACACACATACACTTAATCAAAGCTTGTTTGTTCACCATCTCATTCATCCTCAGCAACAGAAAATTACAGCACTGATTACAGAACTATTAAAGTCACTACACAGAGAGAGAAAGAGAGAAAAAAGTAATGGAGAGACAAAGAAATTGATTCCTTTAGTTGGTGCTCATTTTTCTGTAAATGTGTGTGGGTCTGGGTACTAGATTAATAAATGTAAAAAAAATATATATTTTTTGTTAATTCAGGAAACCTGATGTACTAAACCAATTGAACCTTATTGTTATAAGGACAATTTACCCCAAAATACAAATTCTCATTATTTAGTCCATTGGTTCTCAATAAACATCCAGGGGACCTTAAGATTCCCTAAAATAAGACAAAACTAGCATTAAAATATGCTTATGTTAAAGTCAAGATATTTCTTATTGTAATTCACCCCCAAGCTGTCTTTTCTTTGAAGAACCAGGGCTCCCACTGTCTTAAAAACCTAGATATTTAAGGAATGCTCATTTTATATACCTGGAAAAGTTGTGTAAAATAATCAAATCTTAAAACTCCATAGGCATTTTTATAGGGATTATACTTTTTTCTTTTTTTTTTGGTCATATAAATTAAATAGGATCCAAAACCATGACTATCACTTTGACATGACATGACTTTCATTGTTTGGACAAAAAAAAGTTTAAAAAATATTTTAATATTTTATAAATATTTGATAATATTCTTTTGTGTTCCACAGGGGAAAAAAAGTATGGCTTACACGTTTGGAACAGCATAAGTGTGAATAAAAAATAATAAAAAAATTGACATTTTTTGGGATGAATTATCCCTTTAAGGGTTACCAAATATTTTTTTCAATTTAAATATAAAACTCTAAAATGCAAAAAAGGTTTTTCTGAGGGTTAGTGGATGGACAATATCATTATCTCAACATAGAAGCAATTGAAGTCAATGGAAAAAATACATCACGACAGGAAAGCAAACGTGTGTGAATAATCAGCGTAGTTTTAGCACCTCTTTGTTCTGTCGCTACATCTCAAATGCTACTAGGACACTCCGTTGCCAGGGGCAACCACCTGCTCCGGCGCTCTGGATCAGCCCACACTATCACATCTGATCACATCTGCTTGGTCACACCTGTCGCACCTGTCCGGCTCAGAGATTCCGGGCAGGGTGATGAAACGCTGAAGGCTGCAAATATTTTTATTCATGTTTATCAGATTAAATAAATCCTGTCCAATATCTCATTGCATTTCCCTTCACCATTATCTGTCTAGTGTTTTCTTCATGTCATTCCACTCCTCCCTCTCTTTTTTCTCCACACACAGCTCTGTTATTAGCTGATGGTAAGTTTGAGTGTGTGTGTGTGTGTGTGTATGTATGAGGTAAGATGAGGCCATCTGCAGTAATTGTGGTCTCGTCTGCCTCACTCTCTGGATGAACACACATGTGTCTCCAGGTTTGTGTGTGTTGTAACACGTGCACGAGTAGATAAGCTTTGGGTTGCAGGGGGTTTTGAAAGTTCATCTCAACTTTCAGGCTTTTTGGTGTGTATTTGTGGCGTGCATGTGAATGTTGTGCTGTTGTCCTTCTGAATCACTCTGTTCTATAGCACAACTCACACCTGGTTCAGTCAAAGTTTGGCTGTTAATCTGTTTTGTGTGTTTGCAAGTGTAATCTTTCTAATAAGAAAAACTATAATGACAGTTGGCCTCATTCATAAAATGAAAGCAGCATGAATTTCTGTACAAAATTGTTTGTAAAAACGGTGTTACGTAAGTAGTCACATTCGATTCAATGCGACAAGTTACATAAGAATGACTTTATGAACATTTTACATGAATTCGCTGTGCTTGTGTTTCATGAATGAGCCCAGTGAACTCTAAATATGCACATGAAGTTTAGTTTGAAGTGCAGTTTATAGTGATCACATCTTAATAATTATTCAAAAAAGAATTGTCCTTTAAAAGGGACAAAAAGCCCACTTGTTCATGAGCGTAGGGACAGATGCTAATTGATGCATGTGAGTGATCAGTATTTGCAACCGAGTTGTGTGCATTTGATGTACTAATACGACACAATCCAACACAGAAGTTTCCTTTTGACTCTTTATCTATTGTAGATATTCCAGACAGGAAGTTGTCATCAGAAGAGGAGGAAGCAAGAAGAATAGCAGAGATGGGGAAGCCTGTGTTGGGCGAGCATGCGAAAATAGAGATTATCATTGAAGAGTCGTATGAGTTTAAGGTACACACACACAATGCCAGAGACCAGCAGTCTTTCACATTATGGAAGAAATTTCTTAATGCGTATTTATGTCAATGTGATACATTTTGTGTTTTTGTGTTCTTGCTGTAGAGTACAGTAGATAAGCTAATTAAGAAGACTAACTTGGCTCTGGTTGTGGGCACAAATTCCTGGAGAGAACAATTCATGGAGGCCATAACTGTCAGCGCAGGTGATTACCAACACTAAACAACACTGAACAATAAGCAGTCAAACACAAAAAGTATTGTTCAAATGTTTTGCTTTTATTCAGCAATTATACTTTTATTCAATAAGGATGTATTGAACTGATTAAAAGTGTTAATAAAGTTAAAGGCATTTATAATGTTAAAAAAGATTTCTACTGCAAATTAATTATCTTCTTTTGAACTTTAAATTCATCTAAGAATCCTGGAAAAAGTGTTTCATGGTTTCCACAAAAAAAAATTAAGGAATTGTTTTCAATATGATAATAATAAGAAATGTTTCTTCAGCAGCAAATCAGCATATTAGATTGATTTCTGAAGGATCATTTGACACTGAAGACTGGAGTAATGATGCTAAAAAATTCAGCTTTGCATCACAATAATTATATTTGAAAATATATTCAAATAGAAAAGTTATTATACATTCTTTATAATATCTCACAATATTACTATTTTAGTTGATTTTTGATCAAATAAATGCAGCTTTGGTGATCATACCAAAATTCTTTGAAAAAGTCCTAGCTACCTCAAACATATGAACGGTAGATCATCTCAAAACTCACAGAACCGTACTAAAAGCAACAAAACTCAGCTATTATATAAACATACTCTCATGTTCATATTACACACAAAATTTTCTATTTCTGTTGTGACATATTACTCGGCCCACATGAAAACTGAGCCCACAGATCTCCTACACGGTTCTCCTCATCCTACAACCGTTGTGTGTTCTAAACATTTTGACTAATTTGATCATTTCAGATATCAATAAGAATGTAGTATTATCAGCTCTGTGTGATACGTTTCACTTTGTTTAAATTAATTCCTATAGATTTTCCCCAAAATTAAAATGGAAATGTCCTACATGTTAGTCTTTTATGACTCTGTGTTGAGATAAAAATGCTGCTCTCACAGTGTGTAGCCTTCAATTACCGTGACTATCAAACAGCCGGGGTTACCAAGGCAACAGGACCCCTAAATCACCATGTTGTCAAATAGATAGCTTTGCTCAGGTATGGAAGGTGTGTAATGTGGGTGATACCACAATACTATCTTTTTTCATTTTCTTATTTTTTTTTTACTCCCATTCTGCTTTCCTTTCTTTCTTGCTGGTTTTCTTTCTTTCTGTCTGCCTGTCTTTATCTCAGGAGATGAGGATGAGGATGAAGGGGGAGAGGAACGTCTGCCATCTTGTTTTGACTATGTCATGCACTTCCTGACTGTGTTCTGGAAGGTTCTGTTCGCCTGTGTCCCACCCACGGAATACTGGAATGGGTGGGCGTGTTTCATTGTTTCCATAGTGGTCATCGGTCTTTTGACTGCTGTGATCGGTGACCTGGCTAGTCACTTTGGCTGCACCATTGGCCTAAAGGACTCAGTCACTGCTGTGGTGTTCGTAGCCCTGGGAACATAAAAATTCAGCTTTGCATCACAATAATTATATTTGAAAATATATTCAAATAGAAAAGTTATTATACATTCTTTATAATATCTCACAATATTACTATTTTAGTTGATTTTTGATCAAATAAATGCAGCTTTGGTGATCATACCAAAATTCTTTGAAAAAGTCCTAGCTACCTCAAACATATGAACGGTAGATCATCTCAAAACTCACAGAACCGTACTAAAAGCAACAAAACTCAGCTATTATATAAACATACTCTCATGTTCATATTACACACAACATTTTCTATTTCTGTTGTGACATATTACTCGGCCCACATGAAAACTGAGCCCACAGATCTCCTACACGGTTCTCCTCATCCTACAACCGTTGTGTGTTCTAAACATTTTGACTAATTTGATCATTTCAGATATCAATAAGAATGTAGTATTATCAGCTCTGTGTGATACGTTTCACTTTGTTTAAATTAATTCCTATAGATTTTCCCCAAAATTAAAATGGAAATGTCCTACATGTTAGTCTTTTATGACTCTGTGTTGAGATAAAAATGCTGCTCTCACAGTGTGTAGCCTTCAATTACCGTGACTATCAAACAGCCGGGGTTACCAAGGCAACAGGACCCCTAAATCACCATGTTGTCAAATAGATAGCTTTGCTCAGGTATGGAAGTTGTGTAATGTGGGTGATACCACAATACTAACTTTTTTCATTTTCGCTGTGAACGTTTTTTTGGGAATCGGTGTGGCGTGGTCAGTGGCCGCCATCTACTGGCACATGCAGGGTCGTGCGTTCGAGGTGCCAGCAGGTTCCCTGGCGTTTTCTGTCACTCTCTTCACCATCTTTGCCTTCCTGGCGGTGAGTGTCCTGCTGTACCGGCGCAGGCCTCACATCGGCGGAGAGCTGGGCGGCCCGCGCACACAGCGCATCTTCACAACGCTCTTTTTCTTCGGTCTCTGGTTTCTCTATATCCTTTTCTCCAGTCTTGAGGCTTACTGTCATATACAGGGCTTCTGAAGAGAAGCGATGGGGTGGGAAGGGGTGGGGGTTGGAAAGAGATATATGGGAGGAAACTTCAAGCCGTAAGTAAGAGCTAATTCAAAAAGGTCACTACGGTTTTAAGCAGGCATGGATTTGAGCTTTAAAAAAGGACATTCGTTCTTCAGATGCCTTCACGCTGAAGATGAAGAGTGTGAAACATTTCTCTAAGGGGTGGGACAGTCTTAACCTGGAGTCTGAGCTTTTCACAGTCTATATTTTCCTCAACACCTGCTGAGAATGACTTTTTTCTAATGAAGTATTTTGGGAAAAAAATGCATAAAAAATAACAAAAAGAATTAAAGGATTCAAAGGACTATTTTCAAATCTGCTTCCAGGATTAGAAATAATATTTCAACAAAAAAATGAAAATATATGACTATACATGAAATCTGTTATTGAGTGACATTTGAAGGACCCATAAAGTTATTATTTATTTTTTTCCTTGTTTAGTTTGGTAAGAACTCACAGAGCGTACAGCTTTTACCGTCAGGCCAAAGTCCCGGCTAGGGAGAGTGGCTCGGAAACACCAAACGCTGAGTAGACAAACGGAGAAGAGAGATGGATATGAACAATGGCTGAACACTGCATTTTCTCCCTGATATTCATGTATGGATATAATCTGCTTCCATACTTTTTCTGTACTTTTGTGTATTTCCTTACCAAGTGTTGTTATTTCGAGAGTCACAGAGGCTTCAGAGGGTTGCAGGAGAACAGAATGCAAAAAAAACAGAGGGAACAGAGGGAAGATGACTTCCCTACAGAGGGAAAATGAGGCCTTTTTTGCAATTGAACATTCATCAAATTGAATAACTAGTGTATTTTCTGATAACACCGTGGATGAGAGCGCACTGCATCTGCTAGTATAGTTGTTTTTTTTAATCTGTTTGAATTTCAGTCTTTCAGGGTCATTGAACAAACATAAAGCACCCCTGAAGCAATCTCCCACCCCCACTTTACCCTAGAGAATCCCTCTATATGGAGTCACATGACCATTTAACCAGGAACTCCTTAAGTGTGCATCTAAACAGTGTCTGAAGTGTCAGTGATGTCGGTGGTGAATTCTGAGTAAGTTTTATTGGGTCCTTTAATGTGGTTCGTAATGTTTACTGGCCTTCGGTCCAGAAAAGACTGAGAATGGATCAGTACAAACAGATTCATTTAACATAGTGAGTTAGATGTAGATGAGTCACTTGCTCACCAATGGATCCTCTGCAGTGAATGGGTGCCGTCAGAATGATAGTCCAAACATCTGATAAAAACATCACAATAATCCAAAAGTAATCCACATGACTCCAGTCCATCAATTAATTTCTTGTGAAAATCTGCATGTTTGTAACAAACAAATCCATCCCCAAAATTTAACTTTAAACTGTCGCTTCTGGCCTAGAGAGTGAGTACATTTTCAGCAATTTTTCATTTTTGGGTGAACTTTTCTTTTAAAAAGCAGTCATCAATTCATCTTACTGACTATAGTGTTTCCGTGCCTATTTTTGCTGTAGTGAGCTGAAAAACAATGAAGTGGGTGGGATTTCTGTATTATTTGGGGAAGTGATGTCATAAAGAATTGTTTAGGATGGCCAATAAGAGCCCAGAACCAAAGAACAGAACCTTAGACTGCCACCCAGAAGCTGCAGTGGTTCTCTGGGCCACAGAGGGGCCACAGCCCCTTTCCACCCCTGTATGTTTGTACAACTCTTACATTTTGTGTGTGTGTGTGAGCGTGTGTATGTTGATGTGTTTGCTCATTACAAATACAGGCCAAATCAGTTGTATCCAGGACACCAGTGTTGGGATTACAACAACTACAGACGTGCTTCATTTTTATTATGTTTACATTCATATACTGTATAGCTGTGTATGTGCTGCTTGTAGGTGAGAGTGGTTGAAAACACATTTATTGTCTGAAAATCTCTCCATCCAAATTGCACCTGCTGGCATCGCTTCAGCCTGCGCTGTGCTTCCTACTCAGTGGCTACTCAGTTCATAATCGATTTGCTTTACAGAAAAACGTTAAGAATCACACAGAAATCACAACAAATCACACTGAACATCAATGCTCATTATGACTCATACAAGCTCATGTTCATGAGTTTTTAATGTTTACACTTTTGTTATATGTACAGAAAGGCAGGAGTGTGTGTTAGCTTAGCTACACAACAGACACTTTCTTTTTCACACTGACTTTGTGAGCATGTACTGCCTACATAGCATCATAGACATCTAATATATGCAGCTAATTATGCAGCTTTCTAAGATGCTTTATTTTGGACAAATATTAGGAAGCATTTTATTAATAAATAAAATCTCTTATTTTCCAAAATTTTTTGTTAAAAATAGTTGTCTAATTTAAAATGTCCCCCCCCCCACTCAATAGGTAATTTATATGTATCCTACCATTCAGACAAGTCAGTAAGATTTTTTTAGTTTGATGGTTTTTGAAATAAATGAACGCTAATTTATTCACAAATGTATTATTTATTTAAATTGATCAAAAGTGACAGTAAAGACCATCAATGTTACAAATAAATGCTGTTTAAAATTTCTATTCATCAAAGAATCCTGGAAAAAATGTATAATGCTTTACACTAAAATATTAAGCAGCGCAACTGTTTTTGACATTGATAATAATAAGACATTTTTGTTGAGCACCAAATCAGCATATTAGAATGATTTCTGAAAGATCATGTGACACTGAAGACTGGCGTAATGGCTGCTTAAAATTCAGCTTTATCATCACAGAAATAAATTACATTTTGAATGATATTAAAATAGAAAAAGTTAATTTAAATTGTAATAATTTAAAAATATTACTGTTTACTGCATTTTTGACCAAACAAATGCAGCCTCCTTTGTATTTGTATGCGATTGCATTGTTAGCTTAGCAACATGATAACAGCAAACTCCTTTGAATCATTTGTTAGTCGAGACTCCCAAGGAGTACAATTTACCTGATTTGCTGCCAATGTAAAGCGTTCCAAATCAGTCACTTTTGGTGTTCCCTGTGTAGGCAGTAGACAGCAAGGCAGCTCACAAGGCTTTGGAACACAGCCACTCACACACCTCATAAGCTGTTCTGTGCACCAGTATTAGGCATGATAAAAAAAATATTGAAATGAAGAGAAATATAATTTACACAGTATTCAGCTTGAATGCACTGACTTTCAGCTTGCCGCTTGTTTTCTGCCAGCATGTGTTGTTGAATGTGTCTGGTGTGAGTCAGTTGGCAGCTAAAGTAGATCACAGCAGATCTTCACCACATCTGTGCACATGTGTGCATGTGTATCTTTGGGATGGTTTGTGGTAAAACGTAGCAGTCTTATAAACCTTCTTTTCCAGTTTGGCTGACTTGGCTTATGGTCACACTCAGAGTTGGGCTCAAACTTAGAGTGTTTAGGACTTTGTCTCAGCCTGGATCAGATCACACACACCCATGCCCTTACACATGCTCACTTGAGTTAACTAAACACTACTGATGACTGGGGAGGGTTATTATGAATATTCAGTGGGCCTTCATGTAGTAAGATGGTTGAGCATGAAAGTCAGCTGCAACTACCAGCTTTGAACTTTTCTACTGCCAGCTAACACTTCCAGCTGTTTAGATGCAGGTGAACTGATTTAAAAGAGATTTCAGATGATGTCACTTATAACCTTGAAGTCACACAAGTCTTACAAATGTATCAGGGGTCTGAGTCTCTCTCTCACACACAAACACACTCCTCTTCAGCCTGGTGATGAAGCAAATAATGGTTATATTCATCTATTGTTGTTTATTTTCTTTCTTTTTTTGTTTTGTTTTTTACTCTTCTCACAAAAAAAAAATCATGTTTTATTTTCAGGGAATTATGCATGAAATGTACCTTAATTTATGTCCGCTGATTTATTTATTTTGAATTATTTTGGTCAACAGAAAAATAAAAAAAAATATTTGGAAAATCTGATATCAGTTGTGATAAATTTTTTCTGGTTGA